CCGGACGGACGGACGGACGGATGGATGGATGGGTGGGTGGGTGGGTGGGTGGATGGATGGATGGATGGATGGATGGATGGATGGATGGATGGATGGATGGATGGATGGAACGTTGAAGTTCAGTACAAGGAGGTTGGAGAGGAACGCAGAAGAGAAAAAGAAGGACGATAGAAGCTCACTTGTGGGCAGATCTCAACACATAAAAATATACGGCTATTGGCAAGTCCTGCCATCGAAAGCATTTGAATGAGATTAGTGGAAAGTCATCTGAGGCGTTTATTAACGGTAGTCAAGACAACATAACCAACGATACTGATGATGGCGATGATGAATGCCAAGAAAACACGACAAGGTAATGGATATGTCAGGTCATGTGTTCCAGTCATCACTGTTTTTCACTTTAGTATTTGTATTTTTGGGATTTGTTTGCGACCTGGCGAGACAGAAGGGAAAGGTCAGCTGACTAGTTTTATATAAAAATTATTCAGACCGAGACACTTAATTAAGGAAGATACGAATCACAACGGTAAACATTACACCTCGAAGGATTACAGGTTGCATCGGAGTAGTGTGAGGATTATAGAGGGAAATGACGTTTGTCAGTACTTTTCTATTACTACTTTTGTCTGTTTAGATCTCTAGATGGTGCGTTTATTTTTGTTCGTCCTCGTAGTTTTTTAAAAATTCGTAGCAGAAAAGGCTGACGTGGGGGTACTCGTGATATAAGTAAAACAGTCCCACTTGGGAAGCACGGCGGCAGTCACATGACCACGTGAGAGAAAGTCAGTTTGTGTAACGTAGCTTATTGTCCTCAAGCTATTTAACTATTCTAAGCCCGTAAAGCTTTCTTTTAAGGAGAGAGAGAGAGAGAGAGAGAGAGAGAGAGAGAGAGAGAGAGAGAGAGAGAGAGAGAGAGAGAGAGAGAGTGAGAGAGAGACAGACCCCCCGAAAAAAACTAACAAAAAAACAAAAAAACAAAACAAAGCAACATCCAATAACAAGACAACAAAACAAAACGAGCAACAGCGGCAACCCCCCCCCCTCCAAAAAAACAACAAACAAAAAAACAAAAAACAAACAAAACACAACAACACAAAAAAAAACCCGAAACATTTCCTTCCTGAGAGAATTTTTCCAAGAGAGAAAAGAGAGACTGTTTCATTCTTTTAAAAATTGCTACCAAATTATGATCGTTTCCTTGTGTTTTCAACCATCTATAGTTTGAATTCGTCAAAATATTTCTAGACTTCATGCTACCGATAAGGCAGATTGAAAAACGGCATTGAACATTAGAACTGGAAATTTTGGGCTCCCTTCTTTTTAAAACGCTGACGGACATATTGCCGTTTTCCGCTGGCAGTCTTCGTGTGACCAGGGATTAAATGAAGTGGTTCATAATATTGTTAACTAGTTCGAAGTTTACCCTTTAGGTTTTTTTTCTGGGCGGATGGTTGGCAGGTGCTTTGATGTGATTTGCTCCTTCTTTCCTTTTAAAACACGTATCTCCCTGCTCTCTCCTCCTTGGTTTGTGTTTGTTACTCTCTTGTAACACTTCTAATCTTCGGCACATGTTTGGCCTTATTGTGTTGCAAATGCCGAAAAACTGTTACTGAAACAGCAAAGAAACTTTAAAAATTTTTAAAAATCTGGTTTTCAAGTCCGTAAGCAATTCCTGGCCTAGTTATTATTGTGCATGACAAGGTTGCCTTCATGATTGATGGTTTTGAGAAATTCCGCTTACGTTGCAGTGACATGTCTGGAAATTCCCCTGCACGATAATTATCTCTTTTTGATGTGGTTCGATGTTGCGCTTTTTCTAGCTACTTTTCTTTTCTCTATGTATGCATGGCGCACGTTTGTGTGTGTGTGTGTATGTGTGTGTACGTGTGTGTGTGTGTGTGTGTGTGTGTGTGTGTGTGTGTGTGTGTGTGTGTGTGTGTGTGTGTGTGTGTGTGTGAGAGAGAGAAGGGGGGGGAGGGGCTGGGGGCGAC